ATCAATTTTTTTAAATTGCCAACAATTAGAATAAGAGGAAGTATAATATCAACCAGAAGTAACTTATAATCAAAACAAATTCAAGGAGGAAATAAGAATCAAAGTATTTTTGCACTAAAGGAATTCAAAATACAGAAAACAAAAATCTCGCATACGATAAATTTGGATGTATTGCAACATTAAAAGTAAAATTGTAATTATTATTATGTATTATATCCATTAGATTTAAGAACATTTATCAATATGAATTGCTAATTTTAATTATATATGAATTACCTAAATGCCTAAATTTTATACCCTACACCACAAGGTGGTCAGCTGGGTTGGGCATATTGCACTAAATTTTTAGTGCACTAAGAATTAAATAATTAGTGGCAGAAGCCAAAAAAGCACTATGTATATAAGTATTATACCAGATATAATGAATTTTATTGAAGTGAGTAGGGAACAACAATCCAGAATATATAGTACATATTCATAAAATTTGATTACTTTACTAAATAGCACTAATTTAGTGCTATTTTTTATGAAATACCACTAATTTAGTGTAAGTTTTTTTTTTAATACCACTAAATTTAGTGGTAGTGCTACTGAAATTTCACTACCACTAAAATTTAGTGGTAGTGCAATTTTTTTTAAAAATCACTAAAGGGTTAGTGGTAGTGCAATTTATTTTTCACTACCACTAACCCTTTAGTGGTAGTGTAATAAAAAATTGCACTACCACCAAATGAACAGTAATAGTGAAATTATTAGTGCACTAAAAATACAGTGCATTATGCCCATCTCTGGTGGTCAGGGTATTATGTCTTTGTGCATTTGTTTGTAACAGGCAAAAGGAAAAGAGATAGACCCATAGTTCCTTTTGATGATCTGCATTAAAGGCCTGTATTTAAAAATTATAAAAAAATATTGCACTACTTTAATGCGTAAATAACCAAAACCATTAGAAAAGCAGTAACATGACGTACATACACGAAGAGTTTGTCCTTCGGATTTATTTATTTCATAGCAAATACCAAGCGTGCAGTAAACTGCAATCTTTTGAAGTTGAATGGCATTTTATTGCAACTAGTGAATTCGAGATAGCAACATACTTCGCCGTTATAAGCGTGTTTCAAATCAATTGTTGTGTTGGTTTTTAGTGGTTTTTAGTGTTACACCAAATTCCGCCACACCTTTCATATTTCATTGAAATTGGTGCTTCAAATATGTGAAATAGGCCGAGAATATATATATATATATGGGAGCTATATCTAAATCTTAACTAATTTCCAATTAATTTGTCACATTTATTATTGTAACCAAATTCCGCCACACATTCTGAATTTCATTGGTATCATGTTTGGTGCATAACATGTATGAAATCGGCCAAAATATATATGTTAGCTATACCCAAACCTCAACTGATTTCAATATAATTTGGCAATTTTTTCTGGTACCAGATTTTGTCTCTCTCGCTTTGGGTGCATCAAATATGTGAAATCGGATGAGTATATATATATATATATATATATATATATATGGAAGCTATAATCAAATCTGAGCGTATTTGAATATAATTTGTCAAATTTATTTTTGTACCAAATTTAGCCACTCATGCCGAATTTCATTGGAATCGGAAATGCGTATCGTGCTTTGTGCATCAAATATGTGAAATCGGCGGAAAATATATATGGGAGCCATATCCAAATCTGAACCGATTTTGATATAATTTGACTAATTTATTTTCTAATCAAAATCCCGTTACATATTCCAAATTTCTTTGGAATCGAACATACATATCGTGTATGGTGCATAAAATACATGAAATCGGTCGAAAATATATATGAGAGCTATATCCAAATCTGAACCGATTTTTATATAATTTGACAAATGTATATTTGTTTTAATTTCCGCTACACATTCCAAATTTCATTGAAATTAGAGATACATAGCGTGTTTGGTGCATCAAATACATGAAATCGGTCGAAAATATATATGGGAGCTATATCCAAATCTGAACCGATTTCAATTTAATTTGACAAATTCATTTTGGCTCCCAATTCCGTTACTTATTTTAAATTTCATTACAATTGGAAATACATATCGTGTTTGGTCCACCAAATACATTAAATCGGCCGAAAATGTATATGGGAGCTATATCCAAATCTGAACCGATTTCAATATAATTTGGGAAATCTATTTTTTAGATAAAATCTATCACACGTTTCAAATTTCATTGAAACTGGGGATACATAGCGTGTTTGGTGCATCAAATGCTTTAATCGGCCGAAAATATATATGGGAGCTATATCCAAATCTGAACCGATTTCAATATAATTTGACAAATTTATTTTCAGATCAAATCCCGTCACATATTCCAAATTTCATTGGAGTCGAACATTCATATTGTGTATGAGGCATCAAATGAACGAAATCGGTCGAAAATATATATGGGAGCTATATCCAAATCTCAACCGATTACAATATAATTTGACAAACTTATTTTTGTTCCAAATTCCGTTACGTATTCCAAATTTGGAGACTGTATCTTCCCCCAATCAATAGATATGTGCATATAAAATCTAAATTTTTGGGAGGTACCTCCGATTCTGATGCTATATCTCCGGTTCCAAGTGGAAATTCAAAAATGTATATAGCCTATGTTATTTTCAGGCGATGCAGTATATATGGAAATTTTCAGGAAAATCTATTCAGCGGTTTTCGAGTCCATAAATTACAAACAAACAAACATACAAACTTTTTCCTCTTTTATAGATATAGATGCCTTTTTGACACACTGACTTTGTCTATTCAATCATGTGCTATGTATTTGATAGATAATGACAACCAACAACATCCCCCATTTTGATTCATGTATGCCATTGTCTAAGGTTTGATCGTGACATGGCTGACTCGAATATTTGCATGGTGTTCTCCATAAATTCAGGGTGTCGACGATGACATCGAACCATGTCATCGTCAAATTGTGTATTATTTGTGTACGTGTGCTTAAATTGAGAGAGTATGTGTGTGTTACTTTCGACGATGAGGATGTGTTTTTGTGTGTGCTGTAAATTTAAAGTAACAAACACGGCATACATATAAAAGTGAGTACGAAATCAATAATTAAAAATATTCTTTATGACGTAGTTGAGGGCAGAGATATTAAGAAAATTTATCAGTTTTTTTTTTTTAATAAGGATTGACATTGTTTCGTCAATAACCGAAATGTGAACAATTTGTGTGGACCAATTAGAAGTACCTGAAATAAGTTATTATTCGCCAAGAAATACTTTATTACGAAAAATAATTTTTTTCACATATCGGAAAAAAAGGTAACGATTGCGCATTTGCCTTCATTACGTGTGTGTATTTTTCGTTGGCAATTGTTTCATTATTGTTGTAATTTTGTGGTAGAACATTTTTGTATGACATTCCCTTTTATTGGTCATTACATGTTATGACGATGGGTTTGAATTTGGCCGACATGACGAGAAATCGAGCATTTTGTTGGATGTCACGTACTGTTATGCGTTTGATCAAACAGGACACAACATGACGAGTGTTTTCTCTCCATGGCATATGTCACACTTGCAGCCCTTTAATCTGCATAGAATCACATTCTGAGTCGATTTATGCATGTCCGTCCGTCCGTCTGTCTGTCCATGTATTTTTGTAAACAAAGTACAGTTCGCATTTATTGCCCTATCCATATGAAATTTTGCACAAATCATTTGTTTGGACCAAGGACGAACCCTATTGAAATTGGAGATAATCGGTCAAAATTTAGATATAGCTAACATATATATCTTCGCCCGATTTGCCTTTTATTGTGTACCAAACGTGTAATATCAGCCCGAAAAGTATAGAATTTTGTACATACAACCAAATTAGGCCTGAAAATAAGTATGCCAAGTTTGATCGAAATCGGTTCAGATATAGCTATAGCTCCCATATATATTGTTCATTCGATTTGTTATTTTTGTCCTCCGCAGCCGTAATATGCACTCTGTAACAACAATATTTGCGGAAATACATCAAATACAGCTCAGAAATATATTTGCTAAATTTTATCGAGATCGGTTCATATTTGGATATAGCTCTCATATATAACTTCGTCCAATTTACCTTGGATTGCGCACCAAACGTCTAATATTTGCCAAAATTGGATGAAATTGGGACTTACGATCGAATTGAGTCTAGAAGCTAGTGTGTCAAATTTGGTGAAGATCGGTTCAGATATAGCTATAGCTCCCATATATGTTGTTCATCCGATTTGTTGTATTTGTTACCTACAGCCGTAATATGCACTCCGTAACAACGATATTCAGGGAAATATATCAAATACAGCTCAGAAATATCTTTGCAAAATTATATCAAGATCGTTTCAGATTTGGATATAGCCCCCATATATGTCATTATCTGTTTTCAAATTAATTTTCCACCAAATGGGCAATACAAGTCCGAATTTAAAATATACAAATGCTTCGGCATATTTAGTCCTTTGAACTTTAAATATATTTAAATTATACTTTCTATACTGGTTATAGTTCAAGTATGGGATAACCTTAACTAAGATAGAGTGAAGGATTACAAAGGATGGGAAGGGGTAAAACACTCAGATGGCATACTATCTCATCATCAAAGGTAGGTATTTGGTATGGATAAATTTAAAAAAAATTTAAAATAATTGTTTGGTGATCGTATAGGCATGATGATTCTTATACTAAGTTGTTGTGTTCCGTCAGCTTTAGACCAAAGAACCTCGCCATTCCGACAAGAACTAGTCGATGAAAACCCAGCATGGCACTCATGTCTAAAAGTAGATGGCTGACCAGAAATCGGCACGTAACATGCGTTTGATCATACACGGCAAAGTATGACGAGCATTTTCCCTCAATGGCATAAATAGTGAAACATGTGGCATTTGTGGCCCATTAATAAAGACTGCAAATTCTGGTTTTAACTCAGCCAATAAATACTTACCATCGTACAATACTAAAGTAACAAAACAGTTTTCTTTTAATCATACTTTAATTGGTAGAGTTGTTGAAATAAATAGTTGATATTACACATTAAATTAATTGCACTAAAACTCGTAAACAAAATGAATGAATTTATAAATTAGAAATTGACTCTCAAATAAAAAGGGTTTGCGTTTGGATGGAAATGTCTTGATGGCCTGTACCTATAGAGAATTATACAAATAGTGGATTATTTCAAGTTATTAATTGATATGTGCTTATGCATTTAATTTACGCAACATGTAAGTAAATAACGTTTGAACCATACTTGAACCATACAAATAATTCGGAATTGATTCTATTTAATTGGATAACAATTTTTTCTAAAGCAGATAGTTAGTCTTTATTAGCGGGAAAAAGTTTTTGTAGAGCACAGTTCTCGCCGACTTCTTTTCCAGTGCATGAGAAATTTTCTGTTGCGCTAGTTGGTGAGGTCATTCTCGTTTTTACCTGGTTGGGGGAAAAGGCTGTCACCGCGAAGGTATGTGTAAGGGAGCGTTTGACATCAGGTGGGTTTGTGTGAAGGGTTTTAAAAGCACTGTGCTCACCTCCCATTGATAATGGAACTGATGCTGTGGGTGATACACGAAGAATCGTTGCTGGCCCTCGCTTCAGGCAGGGATTCTGGAATGTGTCGGATGTTTCTGCGGATGAAGGTCTGCTGTGTGCGCTGTTTGTACGGATGGTAGTGATGTTTGGTGTGGCCATGGTTTGAAGTGGTGGGCTCTGGTGTTTGGGGATGGTGTCGCTGAGCAGTGTCGACAGCGGTTGTTGTTGGAACGCTGGGTACAATGATGTCAGTTGGTTGTGGACATTGAGACATACTGTATTCGAGGAATTGTCGCTGGCACTTGCTATCGCGCCCGGCGGCAGTAACAATGGCATTTTGTGGGGAAATTGGGTGTCTGTGGGAATGGTTGCTGGAGATGACTGAAGCTGCGGCTGGCTGATGAAAGTCCCCTGCGGCGATGCCGAGTCCCGTTTTCGCAGAAGATTCACTCGCTGATGTCGTCGCCATTTGGCTCGTCTGTTGGAAAACCAAACCTAATTGATCAATATGAAGAAACCATTTGTTAGTCTATAAAAGTGTCAATGTGACATTTATGGTGGTTATTGTATGTAAATATGAGTTGTATGCATTGTGTGTGTCGGTTTTTTACATGTAGTGTAATTTTGTGAGATTCTTGTTAATTAATAAGAAAAAATACACTATTTTATGAGCACCGAGGCAAAAATAAATGTTTGTGTACCTGTACTCTGGCCTCACTCAGTCCAGTTCGGCTGGCCAGTTTTTCTCGAGTGCTTACACATGGGTAGTGTGACTTTTCAAATTCTTTTTCTAGCTCCTCCAATTGATCCTGACTAAACGTGGTTCTATTTCGACGAAATTTCGGCTGATCGCTATCATCAGTGTCGGTATCCTCTCCCTCAATATCTAAGAGACGAAATATAAATAATAATTGTAATCAAACTCTAAAGGAAGTTTCTAGCTGCAATGACATTACATTTACAATAAATGGATGAGAGCATGGTACAATGAAGACAAGGTAGGCTAATTTTGAACAAATATCAACTATGGAGGTCTACCTGTTTGGCTTGTAATATCAGAATTACTATCAAAGCAAAGAAACCAAAAAGCTTGTTGCATTGATTTTAAATAAATAATTGAAAACCGCGAAAACTGAATGACAGTCAAAATGTCTCTTTAAAATCATGTTCTATATAACTCTAAAGGTTTATTTCGCTTCAAAAACTGTGGATTTTGTCGATGCATACGTTGCAATAAGCATTTTGAAAACACCGGAATTTGAATATGTTCTGAAAAAATTGTTATTATTAAAAATAATACACATATAAACAAATAAAGTTGACATATTAAGCCAAGAAAATATAAAAATTAAAATCATATGGTATCATAGCCCTACCTTCATTTTTTGTACCATGGATGAGAGGTAGGATTGATGGTTGTAAAATAAGCCAAGTATAAATGAACCAGTGTAACCAGGTGGTATTGTGTACACATTAATCTATATTAATGTTTTGGTTGAGACTTGGAAGATTTTTCTACTGAGGACCCAAATTAAAGTTACAGTTGATTAGAAAATAAATATTTTAGGTACTCCATTTACCTTAAATTAGATTGAGTAAAAACATGTATTCAACTCGAAACAACCAAAAGCCTCCAATCCCAAGAAATTTTGTAGGAGACAAGTAGAATACCCTTAAGTTAAACCGGTCGAACGAAAACACTTACCCATTTTATTTATGAAAACAAAGTTGAACGAGTTTCATTCTAAATTGCAAACAAAACGTGAACCTATGCATACCCTTTTCTCGTACAACCTGTGCAAATAACAATTAAAATTGAAGAATATGACAAAAAATTGAAAGAAAACAAAAATACATTTTTTGTACCCTTCACCTTGAAAAGGAGGGTATATTAACTTTGTCACTCCGTTTGTAACATCCCTAAATGTTCGTTTCCCACGGATTTGTTTAAAAAATGGAATTTATGGTTCGTAATGGGTTCTAGCTCCGGTGGCAGAACATTGTATGTATAGGTCCACGTTTTCGTAAAGCTTCCCGGTATTTTGATGATTTTTGCAACATTTTTCCTAGATTCTAGATTATAATATCTAGATAATACTATTCACTTTTACCAACGAAATTGTCTCAAATTTGATATTTAAGACTCGCAATAGATAACAATCGTTGTAGCATAAAATTGCGTTTTAGTAAGCCTGCTTTATGGTTTTTTGAAAGTTCAACTGCATTATCCAAATGGTCTTACTGGTATTTGTTGTTTAAAGTGGAACGGGTTGGAATTCAGATTTATTTAGAACATAAAACTTGCGAATAGTTTCAAGCTTAAATTAAATACCTATCATTCTGTTGGCTTCTGGAGATCCTAGTGTGTCATTTCCGCTGGACGCTGGGGACATTCGTGTAAAACACTCATTGAAATGGTTATTTTCCGTCTCGGTGTTGCTGGATTCTATGGGTTTCTCTAATATAGTGGTGGTGTCATTAACAGTGGCAGATTGCCACAACTGAGGAGATGCAGGCAATGCTGTTGGCCACGTTGGGAAGCTCGCGTATGGATGTTGGGGATTGATGTAGCCATAACTTGCAGCTCGAGCAAATTCTGCAGCAGCACGCTCGGCAGCTCTGTTTCTTAAGATCCTATTAATGGAAGAAACTGACGGTGCAGTGGCATTTGTACAAACACCTAAAATAAAAACCAGAAACCAGTCATTAAATAGAATTCAATTTTATTGAGTTTTAATCGGAAATGCTTATATAACGTTTTTGGTTAAACGATTTCGGGTTTTCATTGATTTGAGTCTTTTCATGTCCATAAGCAGTTTGTAATCACTCGCCGTGATCTCGACTTTAGATTTCGCAAAATATTAGGTTTCAAACAGCTCATGACAGAGGCATGTTAATATTAAAACCAGTAAAGAAAGTCTTAAGTCTTCACTTTGCTAATTTAGTAGAGCTCCGCATAAAAATTAAAAGTTTTTATGGGAGAATTCAATCATACACGCTATGGTTATAATTATAATTTAAAGTTCAAAGGACTAAATATGTATCTTTTAAACTCGGACTTGTATTGCCCATTTGGTACACAATTAATTTGAAATCGGATAAAGATATATATGGGAGCTATATCCAAATCGGAACCGATCTCCATAAAATTTCGCAAAGATATTTCTGAGCTGTATTTGATATATTTCCCTGAATATCGTTGTTACGGAGTGCATATTACGGCTGTGGGTAACAAATATAACAAATCGGATGAACAGTATATATGGGAGCTATAGCTATATCTGAACCGATCTTCACCTTCATACTACCTTCTAGACTCAATTCGGTCGTATGTGCCGAATTCCATCCTATTTGGATAAATATTAGACGTTTGGTGCACAATATAAGGTAAATCGGACGAAGTTATATATAGGAGATATATACAAATCTGAACCGATCTCTATAAAATTTGGCACATGTATTTCTGGGCTGTATTTGATATATTTCCCCAAATATTGTTGTAACAGAGTGCATATTACGGCTGCGAAGGACAAAAATAACAAATCGGATGAACAATATATGTGGGAGCGATAGCTATATCTGAACCGATTTGATCAAATTTGGCATACATATTTTCAGGCTTAACTTGGTTGTATGTGCAAAATTCCATACTATTCGGGCTGATATTACACGTTTGGTGCACAATAAAAGGCAAATCGGACGAAGATATATATGGGAGCTATATCTAAATTTTGACCGATTATCTCCAATTTCAATAGGGTTCACCCTTGGGCCAAACAAATGATTTGTGCAAAATTTGATCTGGATAGGGCAATAATTGCGAACTGTAATTTGTTTACAAAAATACATGGACAGACGGACGGACGGACAGACGGACGGACAGACGGACAGACGGACAGACGGACGGACAGACGGACGGACGGACGGACGGACGGACGGACGGACATGTATAAATCGACTCAGGATGTGATTCTATGCAGATCATCAAAATGAACTATGGGTCTATCTCGTTTCCTTTTGCCTGTTACAAACAAATGCACAAAGACATAATATTCTGACCACCTTGTGGTGTAGGGTATAAAGAATGACAGATAAAAGTCTGAACAATTCAAAAATTTGGTTTCGAAATGCTATTCCATAGATCTTCCAAATTAATTGCATATTGCTATTAATTGGAAGATCTATCTAACCGATATTAGCCAAAATTGCCAGACATAATTCTGGATTGAGCTTGGACGTGCGTGTTAAAATTCATTCAATTCGGAAAAATCTGATGACACTATATATGGAAGCTATATCCAATGCTACATGTACTGAGTTTACAAAAATACATGGAAAGTCGAAAGAAAATTCATGAATCGACTCAGAAACAAATGCACAGAGACATAATACCCTGTACCACAGTGTGGCCAATTCCAACTTACGGTTTGTTTCAATTATTGATTTGAAAAATAATTAGCTTTATACTTCGCTGAACGAATGTGGTTATATATACGCTTGGACAATGATGGTAATTATGCAGAATGTGTGCGAAAATTGCGTACGAAGGAAGAGATATACAAGCAAAATTTTTGCATTTGAGGCACATACGTTTAACGATAACGTTCGATACTGCCGAATCTAAGTCGATGCTTTGAAGTTGGACTTTTATTTAAGGGTTGCCGTCAAAGATGAGTGTTATATAATGTGGTAAGAAGTTGGGCCAGAGTTTAAAATGCTAACGCTAATTTAACGGAAAACTTTCAGATTCGCATGCTAAATTCTCCAAAAAAATCTGGCCTATCATGGAGCTACGCCAACAAGTAGCAACACATCATAAGAAATGTAGCTGAGAGATACCATTAGCTAACACAATCTAAATATATAAAAATCAATTGTTGTTCGTTGGTAATGGAATCAGTTGAGAACGGCTTAACAGATTTGCATAGTTTTTTTTTCAAACGTTCGTCATACCCCGAGTTAGGGTTTTAAAGAAAAAAATATTGACCACGTCTGCTTTTACGCCCACTATTTCGATTTATCTAAAATCCTTATATTTACCAAATAATGAAGATATCGGTTTTAAAATTATTACACTACATACTGTAGACATTTCCTCCAATCCTAAGTATTTATTTGTGGGGCTGAGGAACTGACCACGCCTACTTTTTAATCTATATATAAACCAACTGTTGTTCGTTGGTAATTGAATCAGTTGAGACCGGCTGGAACTATTTGGATTTTTTTAATGTTCGTCATACCCCGATTTAGGTTTTTATGCAAAGAAAAAGTGACCACGCCCAATTTTGCGCCCATTTTTTCGATTTATCTAAAATCCTAATATTTGCCAAAATCATAAAGAAATCTGTTCCACAGTTAGTATACGACGTAATCTTGACTCTCACCCCCCAACCCCAACCCTAGGTATCTGTTTGGGGTCAGAGGAACTGGCCACAACTACTTCTTTAAATTTATATGTAAAAAATTTAAAAAAGTATGGTAGCACATCAGTTGAGAACGGCTGGGCCGATTTGACTCAAATTTTCTTTTGGTTATTTGTAATGACAGTAAAAACGTTGTCAAGAAAGAACATTTTGAGAAAAATCACGGAACTGAAAAAATTTACTGTTCTATTATGATATGGAATTTTGAGTAGAATTGTTTCAGGATTCCTTTTGGAATTGAAAATTCTTATTAAAAAAACGAAAAAATCGAGAAAGTTTGCATATTTTCTATACATGCTGTTATACGGTTGTCATAAGCAAATTTTCAATGTAGATTAGATATGGAAATAATCCATCCAATGAGAACTCAAAATGCAAAACTCATTGGGACTTCAATTAGTGAAACACCGAATATGAAAAGGCACTATAATATGCAGACTATACAAAATAGTGGAGTGAATTGAAAATATAGTAAGAAAAGGATTCATATACTCGGAAAATTCTTCCGAACCCTTAAAAGTAACCTTAAATCATAGGTAAAGTTATACGAGCACTATGCGCTATCGTCAGTAATTACACTGCGCCGCAGACAATCTTGGTTTGGAAATTTTTCGGTTGGTAAATAAAAATCCCAAAAGAACCCGGATCTAACTTTTTTAGAATTCATTTTATATAGCTTAACCATACACAAAGTAAATATTTTGTGCTATACTCCCCAAAAGTTTCGATAAAGTTTTTAATTTGATATAGTCCCAGGGGTTACATGAGGAATCATTTGTACAATATATGTATCAGGTTGGTCTACATTGTGATATGGCCCCCTTCAAATGATATAACCCCTTTCAAATCCTCAAATGTTGGTAATTTGAGATTTTAGAATAAAAAACAAATTCTTTCAAATAATTATAAGTATAGGACCATGCTTCATTAAAACTCTTATGTGAAGGTATCCGGTGATTTTAGCTATTACCGGGATCTTGGTCACATTTTTCAATTGATTTTGCCCTCATTTGCATCTAGCTTCTGGTAGAAGACCTTTTCGCGGAAAATTTTCAATGTCAATGTTTCGGAGTAGGGCTCATATAAAAGTACCTCCTGGTTTTACCTATTTCGAGGGTTTTGATTATATTTTCGAATCGATTTGACTTGAAATGTGTGTTTGGGCTACTTTGGGTGTAGAGAACCATCTTACATGGTCATATTATAAACAGTTAATGTATAATTTTAAATATATATCTATATTATTTAGGTTTTAAACTCTCAAACTAAAATCTCTTACGGAAAATCAGTTTTTTTGAAAGACGTATTTATTTCTATTTAATCGAGCCATCGTTTAAGAATTGTGCCATATATATATGTATATATGTATTCGAAAATAAAAAGTCAAAATGAAAAAAAAATCATGCAAAATAAAACATTACTAATGTATATTTCAAAGTTAAAATGAAACTTTAAAAGTCCACATTTTTCTGCCAAGAGACAATCCGGAATTTGCCTGAATATATATATATATATATACATATATATATATATATATATATATATATATATATATATATATATATATATATATATATATATACATTTAAAGTCTCATTTTAACTTTGAAATATACATTAGTAATGTTTTATTTTGCATGATTTTTTTTCATTTTGACTTATTATTTTCGAATGTACATTTGTAGTGTTTTTTTTTTTTTTTTTTTTTTTTTTGAATTTAATATGATGCTCAGTTTTTTTGGGGAGTATAAAGCGACAACGGACAAAACTATTATTTATAGATTTTATGTATTTATTGGGTAAGGGATTAGCTATGAACAAGAAAAATCAATATTTTAACGTGTACCATCGGTTACTGAGTAGATGATTTCGAAATAATTTAACATGGTCATACCAAAGTTAAAGGATAGTTACTTTTTCAAAATATCTAAAAAATAAAAAAAAAATATCTTATTGCAGAAATTGTAAACTTTGGGGAAAAAATTGAGAAAATTTTTTCAATGGAATGAAATTTTAAAATAATAGTACATTCTATTGACAAAGATTTTTTTGTTCAATTTGTTTTTCTTTTATGTCAATTACGATTTTTTTCAATTTGGCTTTTCGTATTGAATTCAATCGTTTTTTGTGAATAAAATAAAGAATTATCTTCACCATAAAGCGGTGGCCTGATTTTGACAATTCACACAATTCGGAATGATTTCTCGATAACTAGTGACAATGCTTTTTTCAAATTTTCAAATTTTTTTACAGCGCAT